TGAACTGCCTAGCTATACAATTGGCATAGTCACTTAGCAATACAGTTGACTATGTCAGCAGTAGTCCGACGATAACCCCAACCAGACAAACTAGTGTAGCTATGGCTGTAGCAAGACAGATAGTAATATAGTACATATACCTTACACTACATCACACCCCAACAGAATTTGGGGCAGCCCCCTGCAATCAAAACATTAGTGTTTATCCCCAGCATCACACAGATATTCACACTGGGAAAAACAAAAACTGAATAACCTCATGTTAGCTGAGGCCAGGTTTTGCCACCAACTAACCTGAAAAGAGTCCTTTGGAATTTCAGAAATTTTTGGATTACAGAATTAAAGATAAGGGATTGTGGACATATATATGCACAGGTCACAATGTAAGGTTTCTCCCTACCTCCCATGTAATGTGACTAAAATAGTATAAGAGCCACTGGCAGAATGTTTCTTTTAAAAAACAGATGTAAAATGTTTATGCTGTGTGCCGCTAGAGTAAAAGTGAACACCTGATGATAAAGACATACATTATGACACGTATATTTGTGTGTGTTTGTTTTACCATGTTTTTATTACCTTTTTGAACTGAAAATTAATAACAATAATGAAAAGTCTGAGCACCATCCCCCCCAATTGAGCAGACCTAGAAGAAAGAAAACCAATCTTTTAGTGTTGAAAGTCAAGAAAAAAGAACACCTACCAGATAACAGAAATCTTATTTAAATCAAAAAGCAGAAAGTTTAAATGGGAATTAGTAGTGGCCTAAAGTATGAGATAAATTCAGTTCACCATGAATACAATACAGAAATAAAACAAAATATTTCAGCAGTTATAATCTGAACTGCTTTTTCAAGTGTAAAAGTGCTTGAAAGAATATTTCAGTGAAAATGAAAAAGGTGATTGAAAACATGTGTTTCCAATAAGAATACTCTCAAGTAGTGTCCCAATAAAAGCTTAAGTTACACACACACACACGCATGCACACACGCACGCATGCACACATATGGGAGGTGGGAGGGGAGAGAAATTCCATGTAAAATAATTTTGACAAATTGTGGGTTAAGGTGAAGCAGGTTTTTCTCCAGCAGGATTTCTAAGAGCTTTAAATAAGAAAATGTGCTCTCATAATCTCTAAGAAAGGTATAATATGCAGCTGTGCTCAAACTTCTTTGACCTCAAAACCCTTTTTTCCTTTAAAGCATTAATGTGACTAGCATTCCACAGAACAAAAAACTGTTGGAGATGCATTTATAGATTTGGGAATTTGAGACAGTCTTCAAGAACAAATGTCAAGAATCAACTTCTACCTCATACTACTAATATCCTTATTGGTCACCAGTCATTATTCATTGCTATGAAGGTACTTCAATACAATGTAACCAAATCTCCAAAGATTATTAATTTTGGAATTAGTAGCATGGATTATCATATAAATAAAAAATAGCATATCTTCTCTCATTCTAAACACTAAATCAAAACAAAACAAAATAATAAACATATTCACCATTTAAAAGTATAAATAGGCAATTTGATTAAATATTGGAATGCTATACCTCATCAAATTCTTCAGTCATTTTTCTGATGATTTCTGCATTCTGCATATTTCGAAACATCTCTATTCTCACAGTACCTGTGGAACAACAAATTTTACAGTTAATCTTTTTCTATCCTATGCTAGACATTAAATTTAATCTGACTACCGTTTGAAAAGTTATATAAAACTTTTTGGGTTTCTGTTTCCTCTCAAACCCTAATACCATCTATTTTAAAGAAACCTGTTCAGAAACTTCAAAGTTATTTAGACATTTTAAAAAACTGAATATCCCATGAATTAGATAAGTATGAGGAAAACACTCAGAGGAGTGTTGAGGAAAGAGAAGACAAAGACATAAAACACTGAATTTATATTATGAGGGCCCTAGAGATTGACTTAAATGTGCACTGCAGCTATCCAAACATATAGCTGGATGCTGTCTTAAAAATCTCCAAGTATACAGAATACATCTCTCTTATGGCTTTTTCTGATATTCTTTATCGTCAGAAGACTCTTCTACAAATTGAAAAATGTCCCTTGATTTAATAACACATTTCAGTGAAATCTGTTTCATAAAAAGTTGCTCAGTAACTTCTACATAATTACCAATAATCAAAGAAAAAACCCTTTCTCAACTCATTCTTTCATACTAGTTTTATCTTAGGTAGTTTATTTTTACCTCAAAAATGGTTATGTAAATTTTATTACTCTTATACTGAGTATTTAAAAAAAAGTGGTTTATATCGCTATTTGCATTGAAATCAAATAACTTAAAGAAACTGAAATAAAGTTCAAAATCAACCTTGGGTACAGAGAATCCTGTCCTAATAATTAAATAAGGTTCACTTTCACCTGTAAAAATGTAAAATATTCAAGTTAAAAATCACAAGAATAAGACTCAACGAATCAGTAAGAGAATAATTAATATATAACTTCTGACAGGCTCCCTACCAGTGATCACCAGCTCCAATTCAAATCACCTTTAGGAAGGTAAGAAAGAATAATTTCTGAAATGTACTGTGCTCTTACAGGAAAGAGCACAAAGCAGTAGAACAACTAAAAGTCACCGAAGTGTGGTCTTCGTTCACAGTCACAGCAGAAAGTACACTGACACATCTAACTTAATTTGACTTAGTATTTACTAATATCTAAAATGGGAAAAATAATATCTGCCTTATCTTTTAATCAGAACTATTTTCAAGCAAGTTTTAATAACTTGATATACACTACATTGAATTTGCTAAGTACACTTTGAGTATCTCTTATCCGAAATGCTTGGGACCTGAAGTGTTTCGGATTTCAAAGTTTTTCAAATTTTTGAATATTTGCAGAACAGTTACCAGTTAAGCATCCCGAATCGGAAAATCTGAAATCTAAAATGCTCCAGTGAGCATTTCCCTTAAGCACCATAACGGTGTTCAAAAGCTTTGGATTCTGAACTACTTCAGATTTTGGATTTTGGGTGCTCAACTTATACCACCACCAAGTATTCTCTATATCTGACTGCAGCGATGAAGAAGTCCAGGTTGCGGGGGTGGTAGAAAAGATAAAAATATTTTAAAGCATTTCCTCCGAAACATGCAACTTCTTAAACAAAATGGGAAATTTTTATATTGTCATTTTATGTTTTTATGCCAAAAACAGTCCTGAACACAGGTTTATGCACTATAATGCAGCATTTATTTTGTGAGGATTTTAAAAAATTAAATAAACAGGAAATCTGCATTAAATTGCTAATTATAAAAATTGTCTCAAGTAAAAGTTAACACTTTTTAGCAAACATTTCTAAAATCACCCAAATTAAATGAAACGAAAAATTAAATAAACAGGAAATCTGCATTAAATTGCTAATTATAAAAATTATCTCAAGTAAAAGTTAACACTTTTTAGCAAACATTTCTAAAATCACCCAAATTAAATGAAACCATTTACATGTATAAGCCAATGATTTTTAACCTTGTTTGGGTCATGAACTATTTTATCAATATAAAATAGATTTCCATAGATAATGAAGGAGTTTACTACCACACGACCAGCCTTACAAGAAATTCTCAAGGGAGTACTGGGTCTGGTACCTGAAAAACAACCATCACTACCATGACTACTTGAGAAAGAACAAATCCCACTAGTAAAACAAAGATGCAAAAGAGAAAAAAAGTATACCCACCATCCCAAGAAACCAACAAACAGAGAAGATAAACAGTAAATAAGAAAGAAACAAAAGATATTTAAAACATCCAAAAATAAAATCAGTAAAATGCCAGGAGTTAAACAATACCTTTCAATACTAAGTCTTAATGTAAAAGGATTAAATTCCCCACTCAAAAGACACAGAATGACTGACTGGATTAAAAAGATGGACCCAACAGTATGCTGCCTTCAAAAGACTCACCTCACATGTAAAGACACATGTAGACTAAGAGTGAAAGGATGGAAAAAGTATACTGAGCAAACAGAAATGAAAAAGGAGCTGCAGTAGGTAGCTATTCTTATATCAGATAAGCTAAACTTTAAACCAAAAACCATAAAAAAGGATAAAGAAGGCCACTATATAATGACAAAAGGATCTATCCAACAAGAAGTAACTATCTTCAATACATGTACACCCAACATCAGAGCAGCCAGATTTAAAAAGCAAATACTATTGGACCTAAAGAAAGAGATAGACACTAATATAATAATAGCAGGGGATTTGAACACCCCACTCTCAACACTGGACAGATCATCTAGAATCAACAGAAACACACAAGATCTAAACAACACTTTAGACCAACTGGACTTGGCAGATATATACAGAACATTTCATCCAACAACCTCCAAATATTCATTTTTTGCATCAGCACATGGAACATTCTCCAGGATAGACCATATTACGTCACAAATTAAGTTTCAACAAATTTTTAAAAACTTGAATCATTCCATGTATTTTTTCAGACCGCAATGGATTGGAATTAGAAATCAATAACAAACAAAACTCTGGAAACTATACAAACACATGGAAGTTAAACAACGTTCGACTTAATGACATATGGGTCCAAGAAGAAATTAAACAGGAAATCAAAAAATTTCTTGAAACTAATGAAAAAAATAATACATCATACCAAAACCTGTGTGGCATACTGCAAAAGCAGTACTAAGGGGGAAATTTATCACATTAAATGCTTGCTTCACAAGAATGGAAAGAGAGCAAGTAAACAACCTAATACTTCATCTTAAAGAACTAGAAAAACAAGAAAAATCCAAACCCAAAGTTAGTAGATGGAAAGAAATAATTAAGATCAGAGCAGAATTAAATGAAATAGAAACACAAAAAATTACACAAAATTAAACAAAAAGGTTTTTTTTTTAAAGATAAATAAAATTGGCAAACCATTAGCAAGGCTAACTAAAAAAAGAATAGAGAAGACACAAATAAAAATTAGAAATGAAAAAGGTGATATCACAAGTGATACCTCAGAAATACAAGGAATCATTAGAGACTACTATAAATAACTATATGCTAACAAATTTGAAAATCTGGAGGAAATGGATAAATTTCTGGACACACACAAACCACCAAGACTCAGCCAAGAAGACACAGAAAACCTGAACAGATCAAAAACAATCAAAGAGATTGAAGCTGTTATCAGCAGTCTCCCAACAAAGAAAAGCCCAGGACCAGATGTCTTCACTGCAGAATTCTACCAAACCTTCAAAGAAGAATTAATACCAATTCTCTATAAACTATTCCAAAAAATTGAAACAGAGGCCATTGTCCTGAACTCATCCTATAAGACAAACATCACCCTGATACCAAAACCAGACAAAGATAGAAGAAAAAAAGAAAACTACAGGCCAATATCCTTGATGAATATAGATGCAAAATCCTCAATAAAATACTCACTAATAGAATACAGCAACACATACATAAAATTATACACCATGATCAAGTGGGATTCATCCCAGGGATGCAAAGTTGGTTTAACATACGCAAATCAATAAATGTGAACCACCACATCAATGAAATCAAATACAAAAATCATATGATCATCTCTACAGATGCTGAAAAACCATTTGACAAAATTCAACATTCATTCATGATAAAGACTCTATAAATTGGGTATAAAAGGAAAGTATCTCAACACAATTAAAGCCATATATGACAAACCCATTGCCAATATTATCCTGAATGAGGAAGAGTTGAAAGCTTTTCCTTTAAGAAGAGGAAGAAGACAAGGATGCCCACTCTCACCACTGTTATTCAACAGTGTTAGAAGTACTAGCCAGAGCAACTAGGGAAGAGAAGAAAATAAAGGGCATCCAGATTGGAAAAGATGAAGTCAAACTGTCCCTGTTTGCAGATGACATGATCCTATATACAGAACAGCCTAAAGACTGTACAAAAAAACTGCTAGAGTTGATAAATGATTTCAGCAAAGTTGCAGGATACAAAATCAATGCACAAAAATCAGTAGCATTTGTATACTTCAACAATGAACTAGAAGAAAAAGAAATCAAGAAAGCTAGCTCAAGCTCATGTGGGAGAGCATTGTGCTGACAAAACCAAGTCAAGAGTTAAGATCCTCTTACCACTCATCTTTAAAAAAAAGAAAAAAGAAAAAAGAAAGCTAGCCCATTTACAATAGTCAACAAAAAAATAAAGTACCTAAGAATAAAGTTACCCAAGGATGTCAAAAATCTCTATGATGAGATCTACAAACCACTGTTGAGAGAATTTAAACAGGACACCAGAAGATGGAAAGATATCCCATGGAATGGAAGAATTAACATTGTGAAAATGTCCATACTATCCAAAGATATCTACAGATTCAATGCAATCCCCATCAAAATTCCAAAAAAATTTTTCTCAGAAATGGAAAAAACCAATCCTAACATTCAGATGGAAGAACAAAAGACCATGAATAGCCAAAGCAATCCTGAGAAAAAAAATAAAGCTGGAGGCACAACACACCTGACTTTAAACTATACTAGAAAGCTACAGTAACCAAAACAGCATGGTACAGTCATAAAAATAAAACACATGGACCAATGGAATAGAATAGAGAATCCAGAAATCAAAACATACACCTATAGGCATCTGATCTTTGATAAAGGTA